CTCTCCCTGACGTCCTTTTTGGAACTGATCCTACTGATCCAACCAGTCCTATCCTATACAGACTGATTACTGATCAACACCTGCTACTGTTACCACCCCTCCATTGATATCTAACTCCTCCCCAAGAGGAACAACAAACACCAACAGAGTTCCTGTAAGGACTTGAGTTCTTGTATCCCCAGGCTTGGCTGAATTTGCCAGTTTCACAGCCCCTCCCTGGGATACCCAGCTCCTCTCCAAAGGATCTCACCCCCACAAGAACAACTACAAAAGCTGCCCCTCTAGCGTGTTTGGCTAGATTGTGCAACACCTCCATTGAAACAGCCACCTCTCTGCTACTGCACCTGACTCTCCTACTGAGTGTGGTGCTCCAAAGGATTGAGCCCCAGACAGAACTGCAGCTGGTGTGCATAGATATTAATACATAACTGACTCTACTCTCTCTCTTGATTTGTGAGTGACTCTCCAGTGACTTTCCACAGTTCCACTGAATCGAGTACCCTCCCACATCTTGGCTTGACTCTTGTTGCATGTCTGACCCTACAACAAATTGAGTACCAGCCTTTGAGACAACACAGTGTCACCCAGTAACACAGCCCCATCAAACAACAACACCCCTTGATCCCCCCACACTGCCTCTACTGGCTATAGCGTGACTCTCCAGTTTTCCCTGAAAGAATCCCTTACAGCCTTTGGCTCTGATACCACCTCTCCTGCAGGTAGTGGTATACTGCACCAGACTTGGCCACAGCCTTGATCCAGTGGCAACAACAACCCAACAACTTGATATAACCTTGATTACCAGTGCCTCAGTGCATTGCCCTTTGAATACACCCTTCTACATCATCATCTCGCCACCTCACAAGCAACCTCCCTTGCTTGAGTTGAAGCAACGACACTCAGTAACACTCCAGGATACACACCTCTCCCACCAACCCAGCCTACCACCCACCATGACCTCCACATGTCTACCCACTACTTCACTCAAACCCAAGGTCCTTCCCGACATCCCCCACTCCCACACTTCACCCAACCAACCACATCCACCATTCTCCGCAGACTACACAACCACACTCCCCAGATGATCAGCAACAGCTCCTAGAGCATGCAGCCATCTTGAGGATCACACCCTTCCGAATCACAACCTACCCTATCAGGGAGATGCCTTTGTTCTCACCCTTGAAAAGAGGCACGCCTCTATCCTACAACACACCACAACCATGCTACATCCCAACTCCTTCAACAACACTCCAACACCCACAGGACCTCCCCTCCTGCCCCGCACAGCCCAATTCCATGCCCCCTTATCCTCCTTTTATTACTCAACAACCCTCGAACAGCCACAACACTCCAGCAGCCACTGGGCCTCCCCCCTGGGAACACCACACTGCCAGTGTGTCATTTGACCCCTCTTCTGCCTGCTTGTTGGCCTCTATCTAACAATTTTTTGCATTGGATGGGTTACACCCTGCTCTGGTCCAGCCTGAGGAGTACCACCTCCTACGGGCTCTGCTGGCATCTTGCCTTGCATGCCAAGGCCCTTGCCACAGCTTGGGACCTGATCACCCAGACACACCTTACTGGCGAGCATCTTTGGTCTGCAATCTAACTGGTCCTCACGGTCCTATGGTGATAATGTTTCAAACCGAAAAAAATCCTGTGTAAGCCCTGAACCCAGGTTTTGCGCTGCAGGTTCCTTATCAATGTGCTCACCCCCTACCCAGGGCATCTGTCTACTTGGTGCTGGCTCCACGTTGGGCCAGTGGATGAGGTCATATTGATTGGGCAAATAAGTAGATGACGACTCAGCTAGGTGGGGGCTTCCCCACCAATTGCCCGCGTCACAAAAGCCACTCCGTGGCCCATAGTTTGTTAAACTAAGAGTATTTTACACCCCTTCTGGGCAGCAATGGACAAAAATTGCCAGCCTTGAAGGCAAAGGGACTTGGCACATCGTACAACGTTCTTCTATGCCCTCACACCTCAAGGCAGTTCCTGGAACATGGGTGCAACGAATTAAGAGATTACCAGATGGACAATTAATAAGTTCAAATCTAGATGGTGCTGCAGAGGAGACCTTCAGTCCTATGAAGGCATCGCATACTCTCACTTGTTGGTTGGCCCACTGTTAGAGCCGGTCTTCTTCTTGCAGCTGCACATGGATGGGAATCGAGACAAGTTGATTTTACTCTTGCTTTCTGTCAAAGCCCTCAGCCTGTCGACCAGCCACTGTACATGGAATTGCCTCAGTACTATCGACCCAAAGATTATGAAGGACAGGACTGTGTTTTGAAACTTGACAAGTCATCTATGGGCAGACCGATTCACCCAAATTATTTTATGAGCATCTATGTCGTGGGATGGTCCAACTTGGTTTCGATCACACGACATCTGTTTATTCATAAGGACAGTCTGTTTAAATACTATCGGTATTAATTATTGTGATGACCAAATCTGGCTCAGTCCAGACAATGAATGATTAGTCCTATGTTGGGAGCTCCGAACTTGGATATGACCTCACCATGGAAGAAAAGGGTGACATCTTTGGATTCCTCTGATTAATTTTGAAAGACAGGGAGACAATGTTGAGCGTATCTACAAAAAGGGCTCATCAACAAGGTCATCGAATATCTGGTATGTCTGACGCTAGCAAGAAGCTTTCTCCTGCCGCACATCCTCTCGGAGCTGACAAACTGGGGCCCCTTTGAAGAAGAGTGGAGCTACCCAGCTGCAGTTGGGATGCTCTTTATATTGCGTCGAAACTCGCCCAGACATCACATTAGTGTGCACCAGGTGCACGATCAGTCACAATCCCAGGCATTCCCATGCTCAAGCAACAAACGTATCATTCGGTATCTGATGGCACAAGTGACAAAGGCATTTGTTTTAGCCCTAAACTTGATCAGGGACTGATTGTTGGGTCGATGCTGACTTCGCCGGATTGTATGATATGAGGATGATCAGGATCCTGTGTCGTCAAGTCTCGCACTGGTTTTGTCTTGACTTTGTTTGGGTGCCCTATCATCTGGTCCAGCAAGCTACAGACTGACATTACTTTGAGCTCCACTGCTGCTGAGTATGTTGCCTTCAGCATGTCAATGAGGGAGCTGCTTCCTATGCGAGCTTTGCTCAAAGAAATTGGTAGCAAACTGAATATGCCGGTAATTACTGACAGTCTCGTGCGCTCTACAGTGTTCGAAGACAACCAAGGTTGCTTGTCTCTTGTGAATGTTCCCAAGATGTCTGCGCGCAACAAGTATTTGGCATTGAAGTACCACTTCTTCAGGTCCAATATCGGGGAGTCGAAGGGCATCGTGGCCAAGTATATTCCGACTCTGGAACAACGGGCCGACATTTTCACTAAGGGTCTTCCGGCTCCACAGTTTGCTGTCATTCGGAAGCTCCTCATGGGATGGTAATTTACCTCAGCACTTTGCTGGGGACTCTCTCCTATCGTTTCTTGCTCCAGCTTCATTTCAGCTGTAAGGGAGTGCGACGGGATACAGCTTACAATTCAGCTTTACAGCTTTACAATTAGCAGGCTTATTCTAGAAAATAATCAATAACTGCTCACTTATTTGGAAATACAAACTTTACATCTCTTAGATCGTTAGATTAATCAGTACACAATGGTATTGTCGCACCAAACATCTCATCGTTCAAGATATGATGGACGGGTTGGTTCCGATCGACAAGAAACTTGATTCAAAGGATGTCTTCGACAAGATGTACAAAGGTCGTCCTGAGTTCGCCAACTTTCACTATGACAGGACCCGTTACAATGATCGCTTTGATCGCATTCAACAGGCTGTCAAAAGGCTCAAATGGGCTCGAGATTATGACGCGGAATGCCTTGCAGAGGCCAGAGCAATGTATCCAAAGCAAACTCATGGACCAACCGGAAAGGCTCTCTGGCAAGAAGGCTCAGAAGCTGACTTGGCTCTTGTTGAGGACATGGCTGCTGGCAAGCACTTGGAGATGAAGCCCAGAGAGCTTTGGGAGACAAGGGAATGGTATCAAGCATTTTCCAAGCGCCAATTCAGCAAGAAGATCGACCAAAAGAAGGAGGCAGCAAAGCCTTATGGGAAGCATCCCATGCAGGTAGCAGATGACAATGCGAAGAAGAAGAAGAAGAAGAAGAACACGAAAGTCAAAAACCGCCCGGACATGAGCCGTGTGGGCACTGTTGAGGCGTACAGCACTAGTAACTAATCGAACAGTAGTACAGCACTAGTAACTAATCGAACAGTAGCAAAACAGCGGCCCGTAGTGCCATCATTGTCAACTCTATTATCTTGCATCTCCTCGCAACTTTCCACAACTTTCCCTCGCAACTTTCCACGTGGAAGCAAAGTTGCGAAACTCTGCGCGCAACTTTTAGAGCAAGTGAGCATCTTTCGCAACATTCGCAACTTTTGGGTTTTGGAGAAGTCGCTAAACTGACGTCACCGGGGGCCCTCCTGCTCCACGGAGACCATGGTTGCTCGGGATCCATTTTGCTCCAGTTGTTGGCGTACTAGCTAGTAGCTTCGATCCGATTCGATTCCCTCCATCCTCGTTGTCCTTATGGTATCTTGGCTGATCGGAGTGCCTCGATTGAGCGTGGAGAGATTCATCATGTTTGGACGTCATGTTGGAGAATGTGAGTGGCTGGATAATGGATAAGCTACCATTACTCTACTAGCTAGTCTATGGTTCTACAAGAGGAGCGAAACCTTGGATCATCTTGAACGAACCGTTGGATCCTCTCTACTCTAGTAGACTGGCTGCAGTCGATTGACTGGCAGCTGCCATCGATTGGCCGCACCGCGCCTATCAAGACTCGGTCAAATAGAGGATCTCCCGTTGAGAACTGAAAGCATTTCTCGGCCCATGACAGTCAAGTTGGAGAATTGTGGTCCATGATTCGAGGCTACCGGTACCGTACGGAGAAGACTGTCAACTCCGGCTTTTCATCAGCCCCCGAACAAACATCATCAAGTCATTGAAAGCCAACAACATCACGAAGAAGGAGACGACGGAGGAACCCGTGGTGACGATTCAGATTTGTGTGTACAATGAAGCCTCTGTCATTGAACCCACCATCAATGCTGCCTGTCAAGTGGACTGGCCCAAGGACAAACTCTGCATTGAGATTCTCGATGACTCGAGCGATAAGACCAGTGAAATCATTGAAACCATTGGTGCCCAGTGGAGAGAAAAGGGAGTCAACTGTGTTCGGCTTACGCGCCCCAATCGCATTGGATACAAGCTCGGGAGTCTCCACGCACACAGTCCAGATGTACAAGGCGAGCTTGTCGCGCTCTTTGATGCCGACCATCGCTGCGAACCAGACTATCTACGCAAGGCCATTCCGCACTTTTTCAACAGGGATGGATCTCCACGGACCAAGATTAGATTGGTGGCCACACCCTGGGCGTACTACAATACCCATCAAAACTTGCTCACCGAGTATGATTCGCTCGTCTTGGACTACGTCTTTGGCGTCGACCGGGTCGGATTGGCGGGAGCTCAAAACCTTTTTGGATTCAATGGGACCGGTGGAGTTTGGCGACAGGCCGCTATCGATGTTGCGGGTGGATGGAAATGGGATACCGTCACGGAAGATCTCGACACGTCCATTCTCGCACACATGCAGGGATACGAGTTTGTCTACCTTCGCCACGTCCGGCAACAGCTCGAGAGTACGGGACATATTGGCACATCGAAAGCAAAAGCATCGATGGACCAAGGGGCGATGACAGATTGCTCGCAAACGCCTTGTTGACGTTTTCCATCCAGAGTCCCGATATCGCCTTGAACGTCAAGCTCGGAGCCGTCTTTCATCTCACCGTTTCCATGACCTACCCCATTGCCCTCGTTTCCGTCCTCCTAAAACCGGTCGTGGCCAGCTTTGGAGCCTTCACTTTGGGACTCTTGCTCTACGTCAAGGGATTCAACACCTTTGTCTTTGTCCTGGGCATTCTCACGGCATCCTTTGGCAAGGTCTCGCGCAATGGACACTACCAGTCCTTTTGGTCCAGATTGGCACGGGCCGTCTGCATGCTACTGCACTACCAGTCGAAATGTCATTTTCCATCGGAATGACAGTCTTTGAAATCGCCGCCACCATTGACGGACTCTTGTCCGATGATGCCACGTTTCACCGAACTGCCAAGGAAGGATCCAACGGAGTCAACCTCTACACAAGAACGAAACGGATAGCGTGGTCGTATCCGAAACAAACACCAACGACAAAACCAAGCAAGACAATAACTCCAAGAAGAAGAAGAAAAAGTCCTACGAGAACGAACATATCAAGGCTATCTTGGGACTTGTCTTTGCAGTCTACGATTGGATATGGATTGCCATCAATGTCCGGTCCCGTGCCGTCACCGAAGATCCCATTGCCATTTTCATGGGCATCTTCGTGCCACTTTTGGCGTCCATTGGATATACGTACATGCAAGGCTTGTTCCTCTACGAACTCGTCTTGCGGTACCTCGAAAAGAGAAAGCGGCAGTCCAAAGCCTTCCAAGTCCTCCAACCCCTCAATAAGGGCGCGGCCACCCGTCAGAATGACAACATTGCCAAGAAAACCAAAGAAGGCCATCTTGCCGAACTCTTTGATAACTCGAGCACACACGACGACATATCCGAACACACTGCCTATAGCTTGTTAGTTGGCGTGATGCTGCCACCAGACAGCATACAGGTAGCAGATTCGACTCGTGAACATTTTAGGAGTCGAGTGCTCTCGTTGGATACCCCCTTACAGCCAGACCCACCGGCCATTTTGAACTAGCTAGCTAGTGCAGTACTTTATTAAATACAACATAAACTAAACGTTTTGCAACATAGAGAGAGAAAGCCCCTTATCCATGAGTGCGAATCTGTGCAAGCTAACTATTTAGATGGTTATTGGCACCGGCATTGTTCGCAGCCACACAGAGTCTCTGAGCAGTCAAAGCTCAGCTCCTCAATTGCACACAACCCTGCAGGGATTGTGCCTGTGATGCCAGTTCCCTTGATTCTCAAAGATATCAAGGTGATATTGAGCTGTTCCAGATTAGCTGGGAGTGACCCACTGATCCCTGGATTTATCTCCAGCCAGAGATCTCTCAAGAATGGGAGCAATCCCAGCTCTGATGGCACCTTTCCTGTCAATTGGTTGTTTCTCGCTGAAAATCTTGTTAGCAGTTGCCACTGGGATAGTTCTGTGGGCAGGGATCCAACAAATCTGTTCTGTCCAAAGTCAGCATTGACAACATCTGTCATCAGCCCAAGTGAGTTGGGAAGTGTCCCTGAAAACTGGGAACCTTGCAACATCAGCAGCTTCGTCTTGGACAGCTGGTGGCCAATATTGGATGGCAATGTAGCCGACAACTTGGTTCGGGAGATTTTGATTAGGCTCAAATTGGAGAGTTTCCATAGTTCCATGGGAAGCTTCCCCGTCAGAGCATTCTCATTTACGCTGATTGCTGTCAGCGTGTCAGAGAGCAATCCTATCTCACTGGGGATTATCCCAGTGAACTGATTGCCTCCCGATAAATGAAGCCCTTCTAACTTTCGGAGGTTACCAATTTCTGTAACGATGGGACCCTCAATGCGGTTACGGCCAAACCCAATGACTCTGAGTGATGTCAAGAGACCCAGTTCCGGAGGTAAAGTACCTTGTAGATTGGCATTGGTAAGGCCCAAGTGATGAAAATTGCCATTCTCATCGCAAGCTGGCATTTTGTAGGGTGATGTCAGTCCTGTGGAGAACCAGTCACATTCAGAATGCTCATAGGACAGCCATTTTTCAGACGTTACATTGACATGGACAATCAAGTTGTGTGGCATTGGCGTTGGGGCATTGTCATTGTTGATACTAGTAGTGCTGTTGTCAAGGTATTGATGTGGTGATGGTGGTGGTTGACTTGGTAGTGGTAAGGTCTTGTTTGGTGTGAACTCTGCGAGTGTATTTATTGTATTGGTTTCAACTGCAGTAGTTTCACCACCCTGTCGAGTCCAGTTCTCCCCGTTTGTCGCATAATAGAAGGTAGCCAATGCAAAGCGCTGTAAGAGTCTTTTCTCGGTGTAATTGTGCAAATAAGGATCTGCCTTCATCCAGTTGTAAGCCTTGAACTGCGCGGAAGTTTGCTGAGTGTCGTGGTATAGAAAGTTGACTGTACTGTTGTTGGGGATGGCAAATGGCAAGTCCCAAGTCCACATTGATGAGGTTGACTGCGTATTACTTGACTGACTCGTCTGGTTGATGATGCTGGTGGTGGTCTCAACTACAGGGGAGTCAGAGTTCTTGTTTTTGGCAAGGCTTGCTGCTGCAAACGCAACCACAATGACAACCACACAACAAAGTCCCATGAGAACAAAATTGGCAGTTACAGACAAGTGCTCCTTGTACTTTCTCTTCTGGGACGCCTCATGCTCTTGTAGACCCCAACGTGTTGCACTTTGGCGAGGACCATCCTCCTCCATGACTGGTCGGGCTTTGGGTAATCCTTCTTCGAGCTGTGTTGCCAATCGTTCTTGTTGTTCTTGTTCGGATGGATCAATACCAAACATGAGACTAGCATCCATGTCAGCCGTACTACCTGCTGATTGTGGTTCCTCCCCATCCAAAGGTGTTGCCCGATGTGCCCCCGGCACAGAAGGGCGAATGGGAGTCCCTTGGACAAGTCTCCCCAGCTGCGGCGCTGGTGGCACCTCACTGCCACTATTGTTGTTGTAACTTTCCCTGGGTCCGCCATTGGACGATGCATTACAATCCCGAGTTGGGACTGGTAGACGCTTTTTGACAGTGGTGGTCTCTGTGCTGGTGCCAGCACGGTCATGATCTGATGAGAGAATACCCACTTGAAAAAGTACATCCATCTGCAATCTGGTGGCCTCTTCCTCGGCATTCTCTTTTTGCATGCTATTACATGTACCTGTACATGTACCTGTACTTGTACCTGTACTGTTGGCCTTGTCCGTAAGACCTGATTCTGAGTGCTCTATACTGGTATCGGTAGTTGTCGTAGAAGTAACGGCATCATCCTGATCCGAGAGTACTCCTGTTTGGAGAAGAACATTCATGCGTACTTGGGAATCTGCCTTCTCACTACTGGTACCGCCAATCGAGGAATGAGTGGCAGAAGGCGTCGTGGCCATGACGAGATTCCGATCTTCTTCTTGGATGGATGGTAGAGGTACTTGTGCAGGTGTAGCAGTGTGCGACGGAGATTCATTGACTGTCATCGTGTCTTCCAAAGAGGCTGGAGTGTGATTGTCTCTGCTGCTGCGACCGTCTGCAGGTACTGATATTTTTAAAAAAAATACAATGATTTGGAGGGCTGAGGGCTGTGTGTTTCCGAAGCAACGTTGTTGCTGCCGTCCCTGAGCAGGCCACTACCGGTAATATGATTAGAATTGAAAAATTAATTAATGGGTCCTTTTAGTCATTAGACGCTTCCGTATATTAATAGAGAGTCTCCCGAAATTCTTCACTTCGTAAAACCTTCGTTGCCGCTTCGGTTCATAAAGCTTCGTTGCTCCGAATTGACCACTGATTTCTGCGTTTTCTCCCCCCAAGAGAAAGGGATTTTTAATTAACGCAGTCATTCCAACAACAGTGGTCAGTGGTCAGCAATACGCAATGTTGGGAGCCCAACTGCCCAACATTTCACGGTGGTGAAACTGCTGCGTTCGCTTACCTAACCGGTCGCGTACGTACACGTAGTTTCATTTACGACGCCTTGGTTTAGTGTTTTTGGTTTCCTTTAGTTTCACATTAAATTTTCACATCATGATGTCTTTGTGCTTTGATGCACGGTACCTGGGTTACTCGGCATTTTGTCTATTTAAGCTATTGTGTCTGATTACAGAGTTGCTTAAATGTTCTATGCTCCTTAGAAAAAGTGGCTTATGTCTCACAATGTCTCACTTTGTATACCAATGTCTCACAATGTCTCACTTTGTCTACCAATGTATGTATCACTTTGTCTACTAATGTCTACCAATGTATCACTTTGTCTACTAATGTCTACAAGGTACTGTAAAACAGTACAAAAATGTCTCACAATGTCTCACTTTGTCTACCAATGTCTCACAATGTCTCACTTTGTCTACCAATGTATCACTTTGTATACTAATGTTTACTAATGTATCACTTTGTCTCCTAATGTCTCCTAATGTCTCCTAATGTCTTAAATCTTTTCAACGGTCTGTAGACATTTCCATAATCGCCAAAACACAAACAGACAGAATGACAGAATGCCGAGTAACCCTGGTACAGTTAGGTTAGGTTAGGTTGGCTTCCCAAGATAAATCCCTATCAGTTCCACCACACCCCGCCTTATTAAAACGCTTGCTTGCTTGTGGTGCCGTAACTCAACCAGGGGAGAGATCGCATTCGATTCGATTCGATTCGATTCGATTCGATTCGACTCATTCCATCGGAGGCCGAGACCAAACTAGCTTGCTAAAACCTCCTCCTCATGCTTGCAGTGCCACACCAGTTCAAACATCACTTTCATCATGCTACTAGATACTAGACTCTACATGTATATCTTTTGACTTGTCGAGTTCGGTTTATTCAATATCCTATCCAAAAATCACCATCGCTCGCCGTCAACGCTGTCATGCATGTCATAGTATTCCTCAAGAATGTCGTCATCTTCTGACATGTCATCCTCATCACTGCTATCGCTACTCTCCTCCAGATCAGTGCTGTCACTGCTGTCACTGCTATCAGTGCTGTCACTGTCACTGCTGTCACTGCTGCTACTACTACTTTCATCACTGCTGCTGCTTACCTCACTCATGTCACCCCCGTGCTGATGTGTGTCATCAGTTCCTAACTTGAGCGTGTCGTTGCAGATCCGCAATTCGTCACCGAAAACTTGATCTTCTCCCGCATCGTTTTTACTCTCATCGACTTTGCGGCCATCATCGGTAGTAGTCCCATCACCACCAGCATCCATACATCTGTCTCCCAACTCATCGTCGCTGCTGCTGCTACTACTGCTACTGCTAGTATCGTCAGCAGTAACGCTGGCCACGTCTAAGAGTAAAACCGTTTGCTGAATGTCCTGGCAGATCTGTTCTTGACAAAACAGACCGGCAGCGCAATCTTGGTTCTTGGTACATGACTCGAGCAACTTGGCCTTGCCACCATGTGGCTGCTTCTGCTGTTCTGAAGTTGTGGATGTTGCCGTACTGTGGTTACGGCCAATGCCTGGGAACTGAAAATGATCACGTTCTGCTTCATGCTGGTCACCATTGCTTCTTGCTGACGCTAGAGCAAGTAGTAGCAGTAATATCAAAGCGGTCTGCATGCAGGAGGAGCTACTGCTGTGGATGCTGTGCCTACAGTTGACTATGCTACTGGTATCATTAGCCTCGCCAGAGTCTGATGCAGTACTTCCACAACCATCAGAACAGGACGAGGTTCGAACCAGATCCGTGCACAGGCGAAGAAAAAAAGTGAGGTGCAAAGATTCGATTCGACCAGTCATTTGTAGCACCCAGTGAGACAGAAACTACTAAATGCCGGTCACCCAGGAAAAGATACTTAGAAAAATGCTACTTAGTGCTCAGGACACTCAAAATAGAGTTAAAGGTCTCGACGGCACAGCTAAAACATGGCACCGACAGCTGCACTGACAGTGGCATTTTGCGGGCGGTGGCTTGCATCTTGCTGCGGAAACTTAGACTGCCAGATCAGCACAAGGACAGTGACGGCAGCCACATAAGGTTTCAGAGCAGTCAAAGCTAAGCTCCTGAATCCTGCACAAACCTTGTGGAATTGTGCCTGTGATGCCAGTTCCCTTGATTCGTAGGGAAAGCAATGTGTTGTTGATCTGCTCAAGACTTGCCGGAAGCTGTCCGGTGATTCCTGTATTTCCTTCCAACCACAGTTTCTTGATGGACGGGAGCAACCCCAGCTCTGATGGCAGCTTGCCTATCAAAAAATTGTGCCCAATATCCAGAATATCCAGATCAATCCTTAAGAGCTCTGTTGGGATGGAACCCACAAAGTTGTTCTTTCCAAGGTCAAGAATGTGCAGGGAACTCATCAGCCCCAGCGATGTCGGCAGTTCACCTGATAGCTGGGAAGATGCCAGATCCAGCCAAGTCATTTGAGACACAAGACTCCCAATGTTTGGAGGCAGTGTGCCAGAAAAGCGGTTGCCCAGCATCTGGACCCAGTGCAAGTTCGTCAAGCTCCAGAATTCCATTGGAATGGTTCCAGTTAACCCACAACCTTCAGCTGCTATCGTCACGAGTGTATCAGCAAGCAGGCCAAGTTCACTTGGGATCCCACCGCTGAATTGATTATTGTTTATGACAAGACGTTCCAGTCCTTGCAGGTTGCCGATTTCCGAAAACAGTTGCCCTCCCAGACTGTTTCGGGGTAATGCCAGAATGTTCAATGTTGTCAAAAGTGCAAGCTCCGGTGGGAGACGACCTTGTAGATTGAAGTTTGTCAGATCCAATAGTCGATAGAATTGGTCACCATCACATGCTGTGCCTCCATACCTGGAATGTGTTGTGGTCGTAAACCAGTCGCATTCCGAACTGTCATATGACAACCATTTTGCCATTTCTAGTTCCTGCGTTGCAGCCTCTGGAGGTGGACAGTCCTCTGGTTCTCTAAGTTGTGGCGGTTGTTGTTGTTGTCTTGACTGTGTATTCCATGGTTGTGGGCATGGCCGTGGTCGCGAGTTTGGGCGAGCTGGACGTTGTGGCCATGGTCTAGTCATGTTGGTGCCTGGAATGATGGGTGTCGGAATGAATGGTGCAATTCCGGAACCCTCCCAATTCTCTCCATGTGTGGCATAGTAGAACGTGGCCAGTGCAAATCGCTGAATAAGCCTTCCACTGGAATAATTCTTCAAAAATGGATCAAGGGAGATCCAGTTGTATGCCTTTGTCTGAGGAGAAGAAGATTGATATGTGTCCTGCTGCTGTAGTAGGATCCATAGTGTTGTATTTGGGACGGAAAAAGGCAAGTCCCATTGCCATGGTGCGGAGGTTTGTGTGCTGTTTGTCACTGACTGCTGGTCCGCCGAGTCTCTCTGCGACGATGACGTTGTTTGTGTACTATGGCGCGCTACCAAAGTAACAACAATCACCACCATAGCAAGGAAAAGGAATCCAACCAGCACCATCTTGACAGTCGCAGAGACATGCTTCCTCTGTCTTTGCTGTTTGGTTTCTTGTTGTTTGACCAAATCCATAGACTGGGCCTCCTGGGAAGGATACTGTGTTACCGGACTGGCAACAGCCAAGCCTTCTTCTGCCCGACGAATGTGTATTATTTGATCCTCCTCCTCCTGATGATCCTGTGTGCCATCATCTCCAAGCACAATCGTGGCAGTGCTCTGATCTGAATCGTCCGTTAAGGGAATGTCGCCGTGACTGGGCCTGGCACGATGAGCACCAGGGATGGAGGTTGCTAGAGGGACGCCCTGAATGAGCCGAATAGGAGGAGGCACTGACTCCTCTTGTGGGCGTCCTTCCTTATTTGTTGGGTCTTGAATTTCTCCCAGTCTAGCTTGGCTTTGGCAGCAGAGTTCTCCTGTCAACTGCTCGTCGTCGTCGTCAGCACAAGATATCGGCACTTGCTGCTTCTGGAGAGACGCAGTTTGTTTCCGCAGATCCGAGTCATCCTGTTCCGTGTATTTGGGGAGGGCTTCATCTGAAATAAGAAGTCCAACCTCAAACAGAACATTCCTTGTCAAGGCCGCATCTTCGTGGTCTTCCTCTGCTGCCCGTAGATAGCTTGATTCTTGTACTATTACAGGAGTGGCCTCCTTATCCTCGCTATCTTTGACTTCTTCTTGGACCTCACTGCCATCATGATGGTCGTTGTTGTTATCTGATGGTGTTGTTGACCTCCCTTTTCCCTTAAGGGCAGCATCAGCCTCATCCAACAACTGCGTAACGATTCTCTGGGCTGTCACAGCCGCACTGTCCTCCTTTATCACGTTCTCCGCCTTCAACAGAGAATTCTCGGCTTCCAACATGACGGCAGGTGGGGTAGCGGACAATTGTAAGTTACTCTCTTGAGTCGTCTGATGATAGCCACTTTTGTCTTCCATTATTTCTTCTGATTCGATTCTGATGACAGTGCTGCTGCAATTATAGCTCATCGAATGGTGTCGTTGCCTCTCCTCGATCTCTCTCTGGTTGGTCACCTCACCCGAGCGGTACCGATACATACGGTACAGTATCAAGTACCAGTACATCGCATGGCCCTCTCTGGCTTCCAACCGGTACGACTGTACGCATCGTAGACTTATTGTTTTAAAAGCCAGCGGAGCAGTGTTCTCTCGGCAGTAGGGTCTTCTCATGCAGGACTAGGCTTGTAAAAGAATTTGGCTTTTGGAACGAGCATGACATCCACAGAAACAACAATTCATAGGAGGATGTGTGCTGGGATTCCCAAGGGCCTTTACACTTTTCATTAATTGAGTACTTGGGAAATTTTGGGTACATGTGGGCATGTGAGCTAGCTAACGGTCTACTAGTACATCATGTATGATGTATTCAGCTGCTGCAGCGGTGGCCACTGGCTGCGCTCCGGTAGCCCGCCAGGGTTTTGGCCCAAAAATGAAACTTCGAATCTGGCTGAGGCTACAGTACAGGGGGTGACTCAAATCACTTTCTATTTCCTGCATCGCTTTTGACCGCTTGCTAGCTAGTAAAGTTTACCGCAAGCCCAATTGGAAATGCATTGATCCGAGCCAACATATTACTTTCCGATTGAATCGAATCCTTCCTCCTGATACACCGATGGTAACAGGCAGTGTCCAAGACATCCCAAAACAGCAACAACAACAACCCTATTGTCTAGTTTCAAGCATAACAAGGGATTAGTTAGTTTGTCGTTCCTGATTTTGGCTTATTGTAAAGACCTGAAGCCTGATCATCGTCCTCCAAAAGGTCATGCAGGCTATCAATAAGGTCCCAAGCAATCAGATCTGGGTGGCCGCCTCTTTGTCCCATGCAACGATGTCCATTCCGAAAGCGATAACTCTCCGTGTCTGTGATGCAGGTCGAGACATTGTGACGAGTATCGGTGCTGCATTCGTACACGGGCAGCCTCTCACTACTGCTAGTACTACTTGTGTGAAACTCTTCTTCCAGTGCTGTAATGTATTGACGTCCATTGATGGCTCGCAGATTCGTTCGGCCTTGTTGTTGTGTCTGTTGTAATGAGTCAATCATGGCCTGTGCTTCTCGGTGTAGCCGCTTGCCGTACCAAGCAAACATGCCCACATAAATCACGGGTCCTGGATAGACTTTTGCCACATCGGTCACTGTGGGAGCGGCAGCATTCTCAAAGTCCAAGCCAAGCTCTGGAAACTGACGTTGGTATGCCATCATGATTTTGTAGAAATTCGTTCCTGTGGATTCGGAGAACTGATTGAATCGTCCCAAGACAATGGCATCTAGAGATGCCAACGGTCTCTGCAGAATCTTGTGTTCCAATGTTTCATGCCATTTCTTGGAATACACAAACGGACAGTTGGTGGCAGAATAAATGGTAAGATTGCCCCGTAGTTGGATCTGCAAGACTCCATAGGTAGGTTGGTCTGGCATGGCAAACAACAGTTTTGGCTCTCCCACAATCTGGTCTTTGTATTGACACAACAGAGTGCTCACTTGCTGTCGTGTGTGCGAGTTGCCCATGATGAGAATAGCCCTTCCTCTCGTACTGTGCGGTGGTACTATTGACTGCCGTTGTCCCCATTCCGTGTTTCCAGCTTTCATTTTTTCCTGGTAGGTTTTGGAAATGATACCTTCCAAGAGAGATGCAAATTGATCATATGGCTTGCCCGCACATTGATACTCTATAGGCATGGCAAGCCTTTTCATTGGTACATTGGGTGCTTTTTCCACTGGTTGGGGAGTGACACGACACATGCGGAACTTGGCAAGGTCAAATGCGGATTGTGGAATACTAGAAGGCAAGTTTGAGGTCTTCGTTTTGCCTTCAGCATCCGCGGTCTCTGTATTGGTCAATAGCAACGCCCTCCGCTCGCTGGTTTGCGGGGTGTCTGGATTTAGATTTGATGCAGTATTAGCTTTCGCTAGTCTTCGGCTCGTTTTGGCGCCCAAAGATGGAGCTGATTCTTGGTAGGGACCATCCTCGTGTTGTTGCCTGTTGAAGAAATGACCAGCAGCCTTTTGTGTCTCATCCAAGAGTTGGTTTTGATGCAGCAGGGAAACCAAAGAAAATAACGTCAGAGAAAGCACGAACGACGCCAGGGTGTGCTTCATGGTATCGTTTCTTCTAGTATTCATTGGTTGGGATCGATAAAGGAAAGCAGGAAAAAAGGAAGGAATAGGGTAGGTTGCAGCATTCGGTTTATAATGGGCACTGTTGTCCTCCTGTTGGGGCAACCGTTGGAAACGCATCTGGCAAACTTTGATGAGGATTTTCGAGCCAAAGCAAAAAAAGTGAGGAGGTTAGTCGCGGAAAATCGGTACCATTCTTGGATACTTAACATGATGACTAGGAAGTCATTGTATACAGATTTCAGTAGGGGAATCTGGCAAAGATACACCAGGTGCTCTGACCCACTTTTTGCGTTGTTTTGGCTTTGCACACCATGGCCATGCTGTTGCCGGTTTAGTTAGAATTGAATTGAATCGATTACTAGTATACTACTGTAACCATGGCGTCGGATGACAAGTTGAGGTGTGCCATTGTGTACCGCTTGGAAGGTGCAGGTCCAACAGCCGTGCCTTTGGCGCAGTTGGACTATCTCAAGGAAGTGGAAACCCACAAGAAGGACAGCGAAGGCGATTTGTATGGAGGCAAAAAGGCCAACTTTGCCAAGGCAGTTGCTCGTGTTGTGGGAAATGATCCACCAACAGGTGTCAGTCAGGGTCAAAAGGTGGGAGGATTCAAGGTAGTGCAGTCAGATGAACATCAGGTGGTTTATGGCGCTGATCTAGAGGGGATCTGTAAGGAACAAACAGTATCAAGCACAGAAGCAAGACTGCTGCGTGTTCCATGGCTTGTTGTTGTACCAGTACATCTGACTTGATCTGCTTTCTCTCTCCTTTTATTCATAGGCTATTGCGTGATTACAGGATTGAAGTATCCCAATAGGATTGCCATCAAGTTCCTGGAAGAGTTGGGAGAAGAGTTCCAAAAGACGATTGGTCATGAAGCGCTTAAGAAGGCCAAGGAGGATTCTCTCACTTCCAAAAAGGACAGCAAGAAAATCCTTCAGGCCATGTGCAAAAAGTTTGAAACGCCCGCCTCTTCTGACAAGACACACAAGGTTTTGGCACAGGTGGACAAGGTCAAGGAACAAATGCAAGACAACATTGCCGGGATGATGAAGAATCAAGAATCTGCGGAAAGCTTGAACGAAAAGTCGGCTCAGCTCAATGAGCAAGCTGGTGTCTTTAAGAAGAACAGCAAGAAACTCAAGAACACCATGTGGTGGCAGAACATGAAGATGACACTGGCGCTTGGCTGTGTTGTGGTGGTCGTAGCCATTCTCCTGTTGCTTCCTATCATTACCAATGTTGGAAGTTTCACCACCATGATTACAGGAGGTGGTGGTGATGAAGGAGGACGCCGATACCTTATCTTTGGAGCAGGGGATATTGATGATGAGATCATTGACTACGATGAGGGCGTTTACTTTGACATGGCAGAAGCAGAGTTGGATGATGTTGACACGAAAGTTTATTTGGATGGCGACGAGATCTTTGACTATGACACTGAGGAGGCCGTTTACTTTGATTTGGCAGAAGGAGGAGACGTGGATGATGTTGACATGAAACTTGATTTTGATGACGATATCTTGCACTATGACAATGAGGAGGCCGCGTACTTTGCATGATGGGGCAGAAGGAGAGTTGAATGCTGTCACGGAAGTTCTACTGGAGGAATAGTATGGATCTGGAAGTTGTTTCTTTGTGTGTAGTGCGCTGCTGCTCGGGATATCCATTAGCGCGGCTGGATGATACGGTAGGATGGATTGACGTTGTCGGAGGCGAATCTTACGTTTCATTCTATTGTAGAGTTGGATTTTACATTGACTATGTGTCGTGATCCAATCTACTGGTTTCTAGTAATCTTATTTGGTCAAATCCTTCGTTGAGATTGTTGCTGGCGATCTGGCGATACTTGATTAATTGCCTTAAAAAAACATTACTCGTCATCCAACTCGGGAGGACTACGAAATGCCTTCCAGGTTAAGCGTAGGGAATAAAAAAAGGATGGGACATAGAGCAAACTCATTGGTCGAATGGGTCGTTCCAGAACATAACGTTGTACAAAGAGGACAAAGAATCGTCGCAGCATGCCAAAGTAGTCGTCGTAGAATGACAAGTGATGATTGTAAAAGGCCATCATCCATAATATCATGGATGTCAACCAGCCTGCAAGACACTTGTTCATGCGAGTTGCCGACTTCGTTTCCCCTCCTTTGGGCAATACCAAATCTACGGCAACGGCAGCCAGCCAATGGATGAGACCCTGTAGGAAGCAAATTTGGGTTGTCAAATATTCAAATCTAAAAGAAAGAGATGAAGAAGTTAGTGTTGAGTTCAATGAAGGAGACGGTGGACAGATTATCAATACCAGCCAGCACTTACTCGTGATGATGGAACATGAGCTGTAAAGGAGCCGAGTATCCAATCATTTTGGAAGCAATTTTTTGCTCCCCATGACCCAGCAAGACCGAGCCCGTCATGGTGCTCACAAAGATGGAGACCGTCTCCAAGGCAAAGGATGTAAGGAGCAGGAATCTCATGGCGAGCTTGAGAAAGCGTGTACTTTTAAGATCGGAACGTCTCGGTGCCGTGTCTTCTCTGGTTTCGGTCAGTGTCACCAAGACGGCTCCCGCAACAAGAGCCGCCGGGGCTCCAATATTGGCCGTCCATTCCCACGCGTCAAAGGCCGTGGAGCAACTGTCATAGACGAGATGGGAAAGTTCGTTACGACCTACTTGAAACCAGGCATAACGAGCACTACTGTCTTGTCGGTGGCGACGCGGTCCATACCTTACTGGCACTCTTGCTGTTGCGGTAGTACCACCGGTTGGTATGCTGGATGGATGGGGTATCACCGGAGTCAGGCGATTGGTCGCATGATCTGGTACCACAAAGCAAGAGGCCGACGGCAGGAATACAGCTACTAGTAGTAGCAGCAGGCAAGGAAGGATGGATAGCATTGGGGAGGGCGTCATGGTCGTCATCCAATAAACGGGCTGGCGAGGGCAACAAGAGACAACCGATGCCAACAAATAAAAATAATGGACCACCGGATCTTTCTCGGTGATGGGCTGACGTGTCGCGATCTTTGACTTCAATCACGGATACTTTCTATTCCCTGAAACGTCGAGTACCGGTACGCTACCAGCCAGTAGCTGGTAGCAGGGGGGTTATGGCAGACCAACATGATGGTTCACCAACATGTAACACAGGCCCTTTCTCATCCCACGGATAACATTGCTATATTAGTGTCCATCAAGAGATCCAGGGCAGCCATTGTCACGCAGCCACTGGATCACTTCACTTTGGCTATTCCTGCAGGCACCTCGGTATGTCGCTACACTTACCGAGTGAACAAACGGGGGCTCCGAGTGGGTACAAGAGGGTTTTGAGTAGATGGATTATCTAGCTAGATAGATTATCTACGGATCCCCTTTGATGATCAACACTGGCTGTGACAATCCTGTGTTCGCTGCTGGTGATGGGGTTGACCTCGCTAAAGCTCAGCCTCCCCTCCCACTCCAGACTGGGTGCTTTGGCTCGAACAGCAGCCTCCCTTCTTTAGAGGCCATTGTCTGCACTCATCCTCTGGAGACCATTCCCACCCAAAGCCCCCTCTAACCGAATAATACCCTGCATTATACCCCTACCAGTATTCAACAGAAGTGCACCAGCCAGGGATCGGGCCTGGAATGATGCCCGGGGTAGGTCCTCGGTGTTGGTCCAGGGGAACATACATCCTGATCGCATGGTCAGCAGGGCGTAGACCAGGGATGGCGACGTGGTTTCTAGCTAGCAGGGTGGCCACAAGTGTTTGGTCGGATATTTGGGCCAGGCCACCTTCGTATGAAGTGTCCGACCAGCAAGCAGGTTGGTTTCGTCGCTGCTTCGACCAGACGCTAGCTATTTAAAAGAACGATTGACATATCTGGCGATTGTTCTGGTATTTTGCCCCTACAGATAACGGGGAAAAGCGAGCAAACGGCACTTGTATACGAAGTAGATAGTAAGCAAACTAAGTGAATTTGACACACCAAGAGATGAAACAAAAAATCCATTCGAACTAGGTGGGAATTGTTGACCTTCGCACCAGATGTCCCCTCTTACAGCATGCATCTTCTATAAAATGTAATGTAATATAATACCGGTATCTGTTGCACTCATGTACAGCAACATGCAAGCAACATGCAACCAATTGCTTTTGGAAATGTTGTTCAAATCTGCCACAGAAAGGCCACCACAGAGAAAATCGCAGAGCCTCCCAACACCAAGCTGTTCATGGCGCTGGATTCTGCATTGAGTACGCTCAGTGTACTATCCTTTGTCGGTTCTTCCTTGGGGGTTTCCTTGGGGTATTCCATAACGTTGGATCCGTGGCCGTCTAGAATTCCTTCGGACAACTTCTCCGATCCCGGAACGTTGCAGCCAACCCCTCGGAAAATTTCTTGGCATGTACATGAGCTTTCGCAACGAATGGCCGTGGTATCGTCTCCTCCGGCAATTGAAAGATCCGCATTGGGCGACCTCGAGGTATACACCACTCTCCCGTCTACCGTGCTCTCGTCAAACCCATTGTTGATAATGCTGCAGATACCCTTGTCACAACCAACTACGTTGCAGACGTTTCCAGGCTGTGGACAAATGTAAAACCCATCCGCTGGACGATAGATGGCCTCTACCGGTTGTCCCTGTCCCGACACCGCCCCAACCGCACAGAGCAATAACACGGAGCACAATAGTCTCATGGTGTAGTATGTATATGTTATTTTCGATTTCAGTTGCGTCTTTGCCTTTCTCTCCTTTTTGTTTTTGCAACCAGTCTCTCAGAAAAGAGTTCGCTCCTTCTTTGTCGAATGACGATACACTTTCGTCGATCCCTCGTCAATTTGGTGTATCGAGTTGCCATTTTCGATCGTGCTAAAAGACCGAAATATCTGTTGAGGTCTGGCAGCATTGGAGGGATTTTGCATCCCGCGCAACCAGCTTGAATCACAGTCGGCACGATTTCCGTTGTACACTTGGATGCTACAGTCACACTTTTTTGGGCACGTCGCAGCAAAATCCTGCCCCACGAGTTGACCGAACCCTTTCCAAACTGCTGTAAGATCGGGCCATACAGTTCTTGCATCAGCTAAAAGAGGGAAACCGCAGGAAAAGGTTCGCTAGCTGCATAAAAGCGGGAATTCAAGCGAGAGCAACTGCGTTTCTAAAATGACTTAGCTGGCCAGCTAGCATGATACACGCAAAATACAAGTTCGCTCCAGGACCAACAGCATTCAAGACTAGCTAGATAGTAGAGGAACCAAGCAGCCTCCTGACGACCTTATTATATGTACCCGTGCATACATCTCACTGTTTAACATCCACCCACGTTCTTGACGGCAATAGCTAGCTAGTATCTTGCTTCTCGCAAAGACGTGTTATTCTGAGTTCAGTCCACGCGGGCAAAACCTATCAAGTTTGCAGGCAGATTCCTGCCTGTGGTTCCTGGTTTTGATGCTTGGGGATCCTGGATTCCACCAGCCAGCGTTGCTCATGGTGTACGCCTAGGTTTTCAGGCGTAGGTCCTCATTCATAGAGGTCTTGGTGTTGGGTCAGGTGTAGATTCAATCATTCGATGCTTGTAATGGACCGCGAGTGGGGCGCCAGGTAGTCTGATGTCCAGGAGTGGCTGGGGGCTGATTTTGGCCGTGGAATTGGTCTGGGTGCTGGACTTGCTGTCTGCGGCGGGACCATGAGACCAACCTGGATTTGGTCTCCTGGTGTAGGTACTGCCTTCCTGGCAACGGACCTACCGTACCGTACGGTACCAATATATGTGATCTTGGCGTCGGCCCTGGTGGTTGGACTGGATTCGATTCGACCAAAGCCGGGCGCCAGCCCCAAATGTTGGCTCTGGTGTACCGGTACTTGGTACCGTACAGTCGTACGGTACCGGTACTACGTTTCTGCAACAGTAGTTGCACAGCCTCAGTATGTGCTTCCCCCTACTACTATGTGGATCTTACATACCCTCAGGATCAATGACAGTATGCTACGTAGAAAGTCTACAGTATTGGCAGTCATTGAAACAAAGATCCTCTCAATAAGACTCCCAATATTAAATAAACTGCAACAGTGAAGATATAAGGACCGCCCATAAAGACCAACCACATACTGAGAGGATCCAATATTCGCTTAAGTAACACCAAACATACCTGCCGATTCCAATGCGATCCATTCATCGTTACAGTTGAGGTATACTCAAGCAGGAGTTGCAGAAACGTCCGAATCCCGTGGCGCGAAGAGGCACCAACTGGTACTCACCAACTCTCGTACGATCCGTACAGTACGCTAGCTAGCCACCGTAAAGAGGCAAGCAACGCAGAAATCCCGTGATGGATGCGATCGATTTTCTAGCTAGATAGCTAGGTCAATTCAGTTCAGTTTTCCTCATTATTTTCATTCCTTCAACTCTATAAAGGAACTCTGCCAAAATTCCAACTCAAGCAGCAAACCAACAATTGCTTAGTTGACCAAACAATTCCTCCACCATGGCCAACAATGCCAATGCTGGAGCAGCCTTTGGGTTGGAGGACGTGCCGGATTTGCCTGAAGCACCCACGGAACAGCCCAAGTACAACCGGGATTACCATCGTCTCTTCGTCAAATTCATGAGCTGGCTGCACAAGAGGACATACACCAAGGCGCTCGCTTCCAACCTAGTGTTTGGCCGGCATCCAACCACCCACGTTGCCGATACTTGAAATGGCGTGCGTATGGTAGACCGATGTTGACTTCAAAACCTCGAGCAGAATCCAACCTGCCGCTCCTCTACTCTTGAGCAAGAACAAGAAGGCTATATCCTTCTACATGCCTCAAAGGTGCCACATGGAATGGAACCTCCGGCAATCAACCAAGTCGATCCTGTGAACGAAGTGGTCAAGGAAGTCAAGAAAGCGGAGACTCAACACCGCGGCAAGAAGTCCTGTGCCACCAGGGATTTGACGGAAACCGATATCGCAAGGTGGTCCATGAACTCTACGGCAAGGGAGCTTTGAATCGACCAACCGTACAGCCTGCATGTTGAAGCAGCAAGTCATCTCATCACCAGGACGGACGACATCTCCAAGTTGAAGTATTCGACTACAAGCCGCATCCAGACTTCCCTTTTGCGCTCAGTTGCAAGGTGCATTTGGTCCAAGAATATTTCGGAAGAACGACAATGCCCTGACAAAATATTCTTGGGTCGATGGATACCGACTTTTGTGCTCATGACTCGGATTGGCGAATTACATGAGGCGTCCTTCAACTACGGGTATGGCGCCGCTGTCGGGAAGATGCATTCCTCTTTACTCCCGAAAGCGATCCCAAGTGGCTCCCAAGCACTGCAACGCAGCTACCGCAACATTCTCAAGCTGTCTTTTTGTCGCTCCATTTCTGGCTGTGGGGCTCCTCATTGCTGTGTTCTTGGGAGTCACATCATTCGGAAGTTTGCTGCAACTCTGGCAAGAGGGATGGGTGCTACTGCTGACGAAGTTGACATTCGAGGTCGCTGGAGGCTCGCTTGTCTGGACGGTTGTTGATGCTACATTTCGCCTGAACAGCCTGGATCGACGCTCGTGTTGCCGAAAGCTTTGCATGGGGGCTCTATTGCCTACAAGCTACACCCGGATGCCAAGAGAGTGACACCGACTGGTTGATTGAGCAGTGGTGCCAAGGACGCATGCCTTTTACGACGGTTGTCAACGACATTTCGCTTCACTTGGCTCTGCCTCTTTTTTGGGCTGCTCTTGACGAATTTTGGGAGGAGAGGATGGAGCTCCCGTTCGTGTTAGGATCAAGATGCGTACGAGCGCATCAAGCCGATTTCTGTTGGCATCAACCCTGTGGTGAAAGTGCCTCTCTCTATTTGGCTGCACAACACCAGCTCCACATCAACGAATCGAGCGTGGATACGGGAGGGGGGGTGGCCGGCTGGCGGCACTACGAATGCGGCACTACGGAACGACCGGCCAGGCAAGTACTCGTCAAGTTGCCAATGAGTCGCGGCAGGTGACGGTATATGCAAACGCAACAACAGGTACGAACGAACGAGGAGGTTCTGACAAGTATTATTGCTGCAGCACAACCAGCTCCAGGAGCTCAATTGCGCAGGAAGTAGGACCCGCGACAGTTCGGTGCTGCTTTGAGAGGTTGGGTTGGAGACTTGGCTTGGCGCGGAGCTGACGAAACTCAATGGAAATATTTCAGGTAAGTGTGGACTGTGTGGTGTTGGCTATTGCAACTATGGCTATTACTGCTCTAACTATGTATTTTTGTATGCTGTTTAGGGATGGCTGTTCAGCCTCCAAGGATTGGAACACCTGATTCAGGTTAGATGGTAATCTTTTAGAAATTGGTTGACTGTGGAAGGACTCGCCGGAATGCCAGACTTAGCCTCAGGTAAGACAAGCTGTGGCCACCACCCTGCTGATAGTAGGCTGCAAGTACAAGTACAGAACTGCTTGGCTCTGCTTGGCAAGAGTGGGATTGCATGGTATTGTGTGTCAACAAGCCAGCCAAGAACATTCACTGCTGATGATTCGGGGCTTGCAAGTCAACTACTCAGAGGAAGCCAATCCGGGGGGGGGGGGGGGGGGGGGGGGAGGGGGGGACTCTCATGGCTACACTTGTCAATGCTCAGAAAGCTCCAGCTTGGGTCATCTCCAAGATTGAGAAGCATTACAAAGGAAGTGTTTTGAATATTACTGCTGCCATCAAGCAGGACACCAATTATGGGCAGTCTGCATGAGTGATCTTTGTATTGTTCGTCTCAGTAAAGTTGACCTTAGTTTAATCAGCATGCTAGCCATGCCTTATAGTGAGTCTGTTACATGAGTACTTATTGTGTTTTCGTTTTCGTGGTTTCCGTGGACTTGTGCTTTTTGGAACGTTTCGAACGTACTGGCTACTCGGTAGTTAGCTGACTAGCTGCTAGCTACTAGCGATTTCGAGGACTTGGCCTTTTCGAAAACGTACTCAACCAAAGAGGTGCGACGTTATCTTGACAGTGAGTAGTAGAGGTGCGAGCCTCATTTTTCTTACGACCGAGGACGTGACCTCCTCACTGGTATGAACGACCGACAACCAAGCATACACCAGGTGTTGGTATATCTCGATCGATAGGATGGATACCTCCTGTAGGATGGCTACCACAGGTACAGGCTCTCAGTATTCCTCTCAGTTCAGGGATATACTTTTACGGTATGTACTGGTCTGATTCAATTTGGCGGTGTAGCCTTTCAGTGTAGCCTTTCCGTAGTCGCCAGTATTGATAACCTGAGACGAACAACCACGGTGTTCAAGCAGCTTTGGCGCGTTAACCATCTTGACTAGCTACAAGAAAAGGTTTCGATTGATTGACTAGATACCAACCGGAAGCCAGCATAATGTAAAACTAGCATTAATATTTAATTCCGGCAACAGATCCCAGATTTTTTTGCCAGATGGATCTTAGTTTCTTAATTCTCAAGAACGAGCGGTATCTGGTATGAAGTGGTTGCACGGGCAAGTGTTGCCGTCCATCGGGTTTTGTCTTGCGGTTCCTTATTAGCAGCTTTTTGACAACCAGAGTGTTGCCAACCTAGCAGGAGTGACGCGTTTTCATGCACCAATTTTCCTACTCTGGTGTTTGCAACCTCCAATATGACGACCGAGGCTGAAGAACTGGTCTCGGGATCCTCTGGCCAAGGATCGTCTTCTTCCCAACAGACTAGCCCTGAGGGTCTTCTGTCACAGGCCGCCAAAGTTTGGTACTATTTCCTTATTCGAGGCATCATCTTGTTGCTCTTGGGAGTGGCATTTCTATGCTTCCCAGAAGAAACGGTCACCACCGTGACGATCCTGTTTGGAGTCATGCTGCTGTTGGAAGGGCTCAACGCGGGTGCACAAATGTGCGCTCTGTCCAACAGTGACGCGCACAATCCACTCGGGGGTGCCATGGCAATCTTTTACTTTTTCCTCATGGTCGTGAATATAGGATTGGGCATTGCGCTCTTTGCGTTTCCCGATACAACGGCACAAGTGTTACTGATTCTGGTCGCAGTCTACTTTATCGCCATGGGATGTGTGCAAATACTCTTTGTTTGTTGCTTGCAGAGTGGCAGTACCGGTCTGCAGCAACAACAACCCGGTGCCCTGATCTGCATGCTGTTGGGCGGGGCGCTCTACGTGGCATTTGGAATGCTCATGCTCGATGATTTGGATCACGGAATCCGATTCTTTGCAATCTTTATTGGACTTGTCCTCATGATGTTCGGCATGCAAATCATGTGTTTTGCTTGTTTGCTACGAGCAGCTTCGGGTGCCATTGACCGTCAGAACGAGTTTGACGAGGAATTGAAGTTGAAGGAACCTGCCAAGCCGGATCCAGACACCTCCAGTAGTAATGGTGTCGAAGCAAGCGAAATCGTTTAGGAAACTGCATTTATTTTTGACTATTACGTACGTTGCTTGTCTGCTACCAGTATGCACTATACACTACTACTTGAAAGTTTCCACCAGCCCATTCTTCCAGCATGAACCATCATAGTCTGAAAGTCCTTTCATTTTCGTATCGGATTCGAAGAGACTCGTACATGTTGTCCAATGCCCTCCGTGTGGCAGCCTCAATAGTTGGAAGACCGTAGAACTGGTCCAGGCGCCCGGGAAAAGTACACCCCAGAGTGAATTTGGATGACAAATTCTTTGGCAGCACTCGCTTGCCCAGAGACATCATCAAGTTGGCTACCATGGGTGTATGATACATGTACACGTGAGAAAAAAATGTGGGGTAAGATCCATGGATTTCAATCAATCCCCTTCTCATTAATTTGCCATCCACCATGTTCTTGCTAGGGTCAAATCCTACCAAAGAAAAGAGCGAGAATTGCAGATATGAGAGAGCAGAAAGAATGTGAACGAGTGGAAGGAGCAATCTTGCCAGCCATTGGGATCATGTCTGCCTAAATACTTCTATTGTACTCACCCTCAAACTCAGCAATCTGTACATGTCCTTTTCTCACTACCTCCAGGTTGGGGAAGAAGGCCTGTGACATGTAGTACAGTGCCATGAATATTTCCTTGGTCTTTCTATGACATTTGAAGACACTTTTGTCAAGTTTCGTAGGATCAAGTACCAACAGAGAAGTGCCTGCCTCCAAATCAAAATCAAAGGAGAGCACAATACCTTGAAAGTCTTGAATATTGTACTTCTCGATAACCCTCTTGCCCTCTTCGATAGAATCGAAAATATTGTACTCTTTCCTGTAGGCTTGAAGGTTGAACACCCGATTCACAGCACAATCCAAGTCACCCTGTGAGAATATGGCCAAATGAGCATACATCATGTCCGGAATACTGTCTAATTCAGGACTGGCTTCCACTGTGCGCTTGATCTGCAGTGCCCATTCCCGCTCTTGATCCGAAATTTCCATGAATTTTGGGTCTGCTTGGACGGTCACAGATGGTGGTAGTGATGGCACACGAGGATGACCCTCTGTGGCTCCTTCTTCATCAACGCCTTCATCCCGTTGAGTTTCATTCGTTGCAGCAACAGGGACTTGATTGTCGTTGTTGGGTTGGCTCTCCTCGTTGTCAGTGACTTCTTGATTTCGTGAATTCAGCTCGAGATCTCTCTGACTGCCATTGTGAGACTCTGTGGTACTGGTATTGGGGCGATCCATTACCTAACTAGACCCAACCGTGCACGTTAACATGAATGTGGGTGGAAAGAATTGTTAATGGGCAGCACAACACAAATCAGTTGTACATGTATGTAATGGAGTGATGGAGTGCCTTTGAATTGCGGTTTCTTATTTCAGACTCGACTCTGACTTACTTGACCTATCCCGCACTCCTACCGTTAGCTAGCTATGCATAGTGTGGCTGTTTGGTTCCCTTTGATGAGGAAGGAGTAAACTTCTAAAGGCAGCACCACTCAGCAACTTACAACCGCTGTACCGGTATGAGGTACATGTACCAGGTACAGTAGAACAGTAGTCTACTGTTCTCGAGTAGTCAGTCCATTAGCTATTTAAATTTAAATAAAAGGCCTACTCCACTGCTTTGATTGGTTCTTCTTGTCACACTTATTCTTTTTCGCATCTACGACTTTTTCATTGAAGTAAGAGCCTGCAAGACCACAGAAGAACATAACTGTTGTGCTCGCGATTGTGGCCATTCCCCTTTCCTTCGTTGTTTCAGCTCATGACCCGTTCATTCCAGTTTGAGACGTCATGAAAGTCGCGTGAAACAAAGATCGTTTCGTCCACATCAACACGATCTTTTTGGCTCCACAAACCATGACATGTTTGGGAGCCAAGACGAAGGAACATAAGATAGATGATGAGATTCCCTATTATTAGTCGCCCTTGGCTGTTCCTGTTGGCATCTGCCACTCGATTGGATATGTTCCATGCATTCCACAACACTGTGGCTCGACCGACACACCGCTACTCTTCTTCCCTGAGCAGCACCACAGTGGATCAACCCGATGTCTCGCGGTTTGTCACGGGCAGTCGCCCCGCCGGTACGGAACAGTATGTGATGCAGCAAACCATGGTTCGTGTCAAGGATCCCATCAAGAGTTTGGAATTTTATTGCGACATTTTGGGCTTTCGATTGGTCATGTTTCGCGAGTTTCCACAATGGGAATTCAACGTGTACTTTGTGGCGCCCGTGGATGCCTCTGACATTCCTTTGTCAAAAGAAGAGCAATGGAAATTCTGCATGAACACTCCCGGTTGTATTGAATTGACGTGGAATTACGGCAGTGAAACGCAAGACGGATTGGTATACAACACGGGAAATGCCGATTCCACCGGAACTACCGATGGACAGAACGTCAAGGGCGGTTTTGGACACTTGGGAATCACCGTACCGGATGTCTACGAAGCATGTGCGAGATTTGCCGAGCTGGGTTGTGAATTCACCAAAACGCCCAATAGTGGTGGGATGAAAGGATTGGCATTTGTCAAGGATCCGGATGGGTATCTGGTAGAAGTCTTGCCGCGAGGAGAAATGATTCAGAAACCCATCGATCATGCCGGTGTGGCCGTGGATGGTGGTGAAGGATACAAAGATAATTCCAAGTAATTATAAAACAGCAGTCTAGTGAACTAGCTAGAGAACTAGAGATCCAGAAGACTGATGAAGAATTCAATTGTAGTATTCAAACGGAAAGGTCAGCTAGTGTAAATCTCCAACTCGGCCTACACTGTTGGATCATTCCAGTTGAACTGGTCAAGACCGCCTGAAAACAAATCACACCCGCACCATTTGAAAATGATCTATCTGAAACCCTTGTTCGGTCAGGCATCATGCGTGATGTCCTTGATGCCTTGAGTCTTCAATCTTCAGCAGGATCCTTCTTGAAAGGAGCATGTTTGACTGGACTGCAGTCCTGATTGTTCCTTACCAAACGTGATGGCTTCATTTGGGATCCAACTGTTTCCGTGTTTCCGTGATGATCTGGACGGCGGTTCAGACTAGGTGCATGCATGGTGTCTCTCTCTCTCATTTTTTGGAATCCAAAGGTCAGTCGCAACGACACACACCGTGAAACAATCAAAACAATGGCTCAAGCAGCGGACGGCTCCGTCGTCACCATTGATGTCTCAACCTACGATGTATTTGCCGCCAAACAGTTTGCGGGAAACCAACTGGCCGTGTTCTCGGGAGCGGCGTGTCAAGATCTCACCACGGAGCAAATGCAGCAGCTTGCCAAGGAAATGAACTATGCCGAATCCACGTTCATTCTGCCACCATCAAAGCAGCCAACAGCAACAACGGAATATGTACATCGTTTGGATACCGCATATTTACACCAACTTGCGAGCTTCCATTTGCCGGACATCCCACCTTGGGGACGGCCTATCACGCCTTGCAACGGTTGCTTCCTAGAGATGATGGAACAACAACAAAGTCGGTCCTCTTGGAGTGCCAAGGAGGGACCATTCCAGTCTCACAGGACAAAGCCGATGGTTGTCTATGGATGGAACAACAACCTCCCAAATTAGAAATGCAACAGAAGAATGCTAGTATTGACTTAGAAGAGGTTGCCCAAGCACTCGATTGCGACATGGACGCGCTCGATCCCAAATATCCAGCTCACGTGTTTTCTACGGGAGGGACCTGTTTCCTGGTTGTGGCCGTCAAATCCTTTTCACAGTTGCAAACCATTCATCATCCGGGTCCCACCATGTTTCCCTTTTGCCACCGCTGGGGTGCCGTTGGGATCTATCTAGTCACTAAGGAAGGCCGTGATGCGTCCCATTCCATTTCGGCTCGATCCATGATTGCCGAAATGGCCGTGCCCGAAGATCCTGCCACGGGGAGTGCCTGTGGGTGTTTTGCGGGCTGGGCGGTTCATACCGGGTTTCTCGATCTATCATCACGTGATGAGGACAAAACGTTTACCGTTGGGCAAGGCCATGAAATGGGACGCCCGTCCCTCTTGCGAGTGCGAGTTGACACCAAGGAACATGCCAACAACCTCAAAGTTCAGGTGGGTGGTTCGGTCATTCCTGTAGTGGAGGGAGGTCGTATTACCGTCCGGTCAAGTCAACATTGAGGAGCGTTTTTCATCTTGTTGCGCCACAGAGCGCATCGACGAGGCATCAACGCAGCGGCGGGCCATCTCGCGAATGCTTCCCCAGCAGTCGAAGGAGATTATCAAAGTTTTCGTCAGTGCGGTCTAGACTAGTATCCCTCGAAGCTTGACTTATTAACTCTTTTTGTAGATAATTTCCTTGCTCTAACCCGCCCCTATAGTCTAATGATTCTTTTTGTTGAAGATCTACCAGTGATGTGGAAGATACTATTATAATTCGGTTTTTTTCAGCGTTCGTCTCCTGTTTCCTCAGTTTGCTCGCTACTTGTGCAATCCAGCCATTGTAGCCAGCTACGGTACCGGTACCATAGGCAGAGAGTTACATGGTCCGTGACATTGGCAACAGTACCGAACACACTCAGGTTCCGCTTTACTGGCTGCACTCCGTTTACCGGTACCTTGCATTGGATCCTTATGACGAATACATGCACAACCGAACATTGTCAATCCAGCCATCGTAGCCAGCTACCGTAGAGTTCATCGATCAGTGACAGTGGCAACCGTACCGAACACACTCAGGTTCAACTTTGCTCGCTGCACTCGGTTACCTCGCCATTGGATCCTTATGACGAATACACAGCACAAAACCGAATCATTGTCAATCCAGCCATCGTAGCTCAGCTATCGAAGAGTTAAATCGATCGACAGTGGCAACAGTTACCGAAACACACTCAGTGTTCACTTGCTGCTCCCGTCTGCCCGATACTTGCATTTGGATCCTTATTGCGAATACAGCACAACCAATGATGATCAATCCAGCCATCGTAGCTCGGCTGCGTATAGCTACATAGCGACAGTGCAACCAGTACTAACCACAAGGTTCGGCTTTATCTGGCTACACACCGTTGCCGGTACTGCATTGGATCTTTATGACGAATAATGCGACAACCGAATTATTTCGAAATTACCAGCATTGTCAGTTACCGGAGTATAGCATACATCGTGGACAGTGCACACACAGACCGAACGTACACTAAAACAGGTTTCGCTTTGCTCGCTACGGTTACTCCGATACAAAAAACAACCAACACAAGTCACAAAACAGGCACCACATTACATCACAAGGACATCGCAATTGGTCCTTATGCTGATACACAACCGAATATTGTCAATCAAGCCATTGTAGCCAGATACCGTAGAGTTACATCAATCGGTGACAGTGGCAACAGTACCACACACTCAGGTTCGGCTTTTGCTCGCTGACAGCTTCCGGAACAGGTACCTTGCAATTGGATCCTTATGACGGATCACAACCGAAATTTGTCATCCAGCCATATGTGCCAGTACCGTAGAGTACATCAATCGGTGACAGTGGCAACAGTACCGAACACACTCAGGTTCGCTTTGCTCGCTCACTCCGGTACGGTACCTCGCATTTGGATCCTTATGACGATTACACACACAACCGATATTGTCAATAACCATGTAGCCAGTTACCGTAAGAGTTACATCAATCGTGGACAGTGGAACAGTAACCGAACACACTCAGGTTCGGCTTTGCTCGCTACTTACTCCGGTACAGTTGCATTGACCTTATGACGAATAGATAACACAACCGAATATTGTCATCCAGCCATTGTAGCCGGTCCGTAAGTTACACAATGGACAATGGCAACAGTACGAAAACACACTCAGGTTCGCTTTACGTTGCTACACTCGCTCAATACCTTCCCACATTGGATCCTATGACGAATACACCACAACCGAATATAGTTCCAGCCATTTAGCCGCTGCGGATATACATTGACAGTGGCAATACGAACACTCAGGTTCGGCTTTGTCGCTACTCCGTACAGTCCTCGCATTGGATCCTTAGACGAATAATGCACAACCGTAATATGTCATCCAGCGCAAATATAGCGGCTCGACCGTATAGAGTTAAGCCAACACGCAGTGCAAGTGAACCGAACACACCCAGCGTCGGCTCTAATGCTCCTTACACTCGTACAGGTACTTATCAGCATTGTGGAATCTTATAACGAATATATACAACAGATATATTGTAATACCTGAAATTGCACATTAAGGATATACTGACAATAATGCATATATAGAAAGCATCAGGTCTACATACACTGTATCAGTACATCGATGTGATCTTATGCGATAATCACACGTATGCAACTATGTTAAGACTTATAAGAATCGTTTTACGAACTATACTACGCGTCTCGAAGGACTTGTGCATACGGAAGATTGGTAACCGACAGAGAATCCCCATCAAAACACTAGAAATAACATGGAGGGATTGAATCCAGAGTAGGATCCACTCTCCTCTGCGCGTCGAGTGTTGTCGTGTAGCCATCCTCGGTCTGTTAGCATTTTCAATGACTCGACGACGATTTCCTCCGTTCATGCTGTTGCGTAGGGCTGGAGTTAACTAGAGCTCCTCCTCCGTAGTCGGTACCACAACGCCTCTCCTCTTGTTATCCGGGAACGATCAGATCGTCACATGTAATTCCACGGCCGTCATGCAGTACAGCCAGAGAGACAACAAATAGTATTGAAGCTTTAGTTTTCTGTGCTACAATGCAAGACGAACCGGGACTTACTACTTCGGTTTTCTACAAATTGCAACCAACTTGCGCATGGCCGAGAACTCACTGCCCATCCATGGTCCATAGGATCAATGAGGGATGAGTTACCATTCTGCACGCGAGACAGCACCGCTTGGCTTGGACTACAGAGGTGCGACCGATTCAGTTCGTTCGAAATAATTAAAACACACCATGTACGACGCACGCTCGGAATCTGCTACCCATGTTTCACAACATAGAAAAATCCAATGAGGGAGAGAAGTCAGCGGCACTTGCAAAACAACGCTCTTTGATAATAGGCTAGCCTCATTCCGCGAACGATCGACTACAATCAATCTGATCGGAAAATAAACCATCACCCAATATCGATTCAAACTAGAGGCCGATGTGGATAAAGCACTCATCATTGTTGTCGTGACCAAGCTTGAGATTATCCTCACTGTCATACCATAAAAACGAATTCATAGTGGAGAGAAGATCAGTGTTGTAGTCTCAACTTGAACCATTGCATCGTAATACTACAGTAAACGAACACGTACTGGTACTCACAATCCTGAACCTTAGTAGCATCCAGCAATCGAGAATCGAATCCATCATCTAAACTCTTTCGAAGGACACTTGTTCAAACTTAACGAATACACATGACCGTTGATAGCAACTGAGATGCGAGACTACTCCCAATTCTAACCACTAAGTACAACTGCCTGGCAAAATCGATTCAAGACTGGCAACTGAGAGGGGTAACCAAAAGGTGCGCGTCTCAAGGAGACGGAATACGGCCGTCGAACAAACTGTTCTTCTGTGTTCTTTTTGCCACCGGTACATGCCGTCACAGGCTCTTCGAAAAGCCCATACGGTATTCCGAAGAAGAACAATTATTGAACAATAATTGACAAGAAGAACCAATCAGATTTAAAGATGCAGTGCTGTTACTTGAAGCTAGACTACTGTTGTACTCATTACTCATACTGAGTACAGGTTCAAGTACGGCTGTGAGTTGTCGAGAACTGAGTACTGTAACAATGTCTTGTACATGCATACATACATGTACACCAAGAACCCCCACTCCCCACTTGCATCCAGGGCGTGGTACGCACCACTGTTTAGCATTAAGAGTAGGTCTTGAGTATACTGCACAAGTTCAAAAGTGTGGTATGGGTACTGAGTGTAAATACCACATTCCCAGGGCAGTGGTACGGGTATCAGGTGAGTACAGGTACTTTGTGGTGTACTATAGATACTCACCGAGTACTCATAAATCAATTACTT